CAGGGCCCAAACCCAGTGTTGGGGGCTGAGAAGGGATGGTGCTAAGCCCCCAGGCTGCAATTCTGGTGTGTAGGGGAGTGTGCTGGGTCCCAGAGCCCAAACTGGCCCACAGAGTAGCTTTGCACCACTCATCTGGCCTACAGGGCCAAAAGGCTGAACACCACTGTACCACAGGCAGCACCTTTGTTCCAAGGTAGGTCTCCCCTCCTGGAGCAAACTATAAAAATGACAAAACTGCAGCATAGTTTCATTTTGTACTTCCAAAGAGCTAGGGGCAGAGGGATGCCCACTATTCTCACTGTTCTGCCTTTTTCCATAGGAAGCTCCTAAAAGTTGGCATTCCCTCAGCAAGAGCACTGCATCCATTTTTGCTACCATAAGGATGAAGTCTATCATTGATTTAGGCCCTTGATTTTGTCTCCAGTTTGTCCAGTACAGCAGTACTATACATCTTGAATGCAAAGTGCTTTAGGATTGTCATTTTCTATGGTGAGTCAATATTTACTGTTATTTCAACTGGTTGGGGGTGGAAACTGAACTTTGAGAAATAAGCTTCCTGCTTTTGACACAACTTCTGCCACAGCTTTGAACAGTTCCTTTGCTACAAGGCTGTTTTGCCGCAGTCTTCAGCAATTCGAAGGACGCATCCCCCTCTTGGTACAATATCCTCCTACAGCCACAGTGCACTAGGGGGAACTCTATTCTTCTCTTTCGCCAGTGCAGGAGAAGCGTGACTTTAATGGCAATCTGTGATGTACGAGAACTCTTCAAGTCAAACTGAATGAATAATGGGAAAGGCCAAGTACAACTATTCAGCCAGCTGTATTCCTGACCCTCTGTGCTTACTTGCCATGAACATGAGTCTTTAGCAGTACAGGCATTCGTGATTGTGAGTGTTGGGACTGACTGATCAAATAGCTGCTGGTAGCTAAGTCTGAACTGCATATTTCCTTTAGAAGTGTGCAATTCCTGAATGGTCTGCTGATTGAGAGCCACATGCTGGAGAAATATAAGAGCCTGGAGTGATGAATACATGCAATCATTTCAACAACACAAAAAAATCATCCAATGAACATTAACAATCATGGAGAATTTGCTTAGCTCTAAAGGTTAGATTTACCTCTGTGCAGAGTCTGTGCTAGGCTTAGGTACCATTTAAGTCCGTACTGAATCCCAGAAGGCCTGATTCTAACTTACACTAAAATCCCTTTATATTGTGCAGCAAAGTGCTAGCTATCCTGAATTCCCAATTCATTTCCAAAATGCTGGTGTGGACCCCCCCAGCACCTCACAGGACTGAAACCTTACTTGGCTACTACCTGGATATTTAAATAACATGTTGAGGTCTTGTTCTTCAACTCACATCACAGAACTAGTCCAATCAGTCTGAAGGATGGCTGCACTCTCTAATATCATGACCTGTTGATGACTTGAGGAGATCTGCCTATACCAGGGGTTGATCTGGAGTTAGCTGATGCCAAGCTTGGTCAAGAGGAAGCTGGTGAAATGACAGCTTTCCCTTCAGGTAGCCAACTGGAGTGGATTCAAACCCACATGTCCCACAAGAGTGCCCTAAACACCAGCCTATATGCTGGCAGAAAAGAGGACTTCCTCCATGCCCTGTGTTGCAACTGGATTATTGGAGAAAAAGGAATGCAAATATCATAGATTAGGACAGAAGGGAAGAGAGAGCCTGATTCTGTAGCCCAGCAGAGACGACACTCCCCAGGGCGGGAGGTCTGGGTTCTGGCCCCAGCTCCCAATGTTATTTGTGCATTTTGTGTGAAATAGTGATTGGAAGAATACACCAATGCATTACAAAAGCATATGGGTTAAGTGTTTTCCAAGACTTGAGCAGGGTGGAAAAGATCAGCCTTAGAGGCTTAGATAACAAAAAAAATCTAAGTGCTACCTAGGGCATACACACCCAGACATTACAATAGCATGGTTATGAAATGACACTGCTATATGTTGTTCCGATGTAACCATTACCTCTGCATACTCCTGTGCTGAAGCAAAATGGTTGTGGCCTTACCCCTGTTTCTCACAGAGTTATATTTACAGAGATTTAGTTTACTTGAACTGCTATGAGAGTAAGCAGATGTAACAGTGACATTAGAGCAGCTCATGCCTGTACCTAAGCAGAAATTCTCCCTTCCGCTGTAAAGTGGTTCCAAGTTATGTATGTTCCTAGCCTTAAATATATTAGAGACGGAGCAGGATCTGAGCCCCAGCATTCACCCACAGCCCCTTCATTTGTAATCCCAGGAGTTGGAGATACAAGGGAGCCTCCTATCCAACTATGAACCCAGCCCAGGACTGCTTAGCTTCTATGTTCAGATGAGATTAGGTGCATTTGCTTGGGTATAGGCACCTTGAACCCACTGAGAACCCACAAGCTTGGGAACTGAGGAAGCTGGATGGGTGCTTGGCTGGGATTGTTTAGACAGGGATGATCCTGCCTTGAGCAGGGCTGGATTAGATGACCTTGTGCGGCCCCTTCCAGTCCTATTTGCTTATGATGCTAAACCAACACCATATACATTCTACCCAGCATAGAATATACCATTTACAACTGTTGTTGCCTACTGAGGTCCTGGAAGGAGTCACACTTTTCCCGGATGAAAAGGGAGAACTGCTTTACAGAAGCCTGGGGAACAGTTCAGGTTTAAAGTGCACCACAAGCAATCCACACAACCGGTCTTATAGGCAGACAAGTATGATCATTATTTGTGTTTGCCAAGTGTCCTAAGAGCTTCACGGAACAGATATCCAGGGTCTGTCTGTCTGTGGTAAGGCTGTTGGGGAGACCAGAAAACATAAAAGGCACAAAAAGGTCAAGGCCAATACTTCTAACAGTAGCCACAGACTTCATAGACTGCATAGACATTTGGGCTGGAAGGGACACCAGAGGATCAGAGTCCAGCCCCCTGCTCGAAGGGCAGGAAGTCAGTAGGGATCATAGGATCCCAGCAAGATAAGCATCCAAATGTGTCTTGAAGGTGTTCAAAGTGGGTGCTTGCACCGCCTCCAGCGGCAGTCTATTCCAAACCTTGGGGGCTCGGACAGCGAAGAAGTTCTTCCTTATGTCCCGCCTGAATCGGTCGCGGCAGAGTTTGTGACCGTTCGATCTTGTCATCCCTTGGGGCACTCTGGTGAACAGACGTTCCCCCAGATCCTGATGAGGATGTATACTTCTGTGCATCCAAATTAAGAATCTCTGGGCCTAGTTGTTAAAAGACCAGCTTACCCTCTCCTCCAACCAGACTTGGTGGGAGCTGAAGATGCTCGGTGTCTCTAAAGAGCATGCTTAACTTGGGTGTTTAAAAAATAAGACGCCCCAATATAAGGCCATTTGCAAATCCGGTTGTGATTTGCGCCAGATCTCACTGGGAATTGGTGCTTCTACTTCTAATTGTGTTGTGCTTTCTAAACACCAAGGAGAGGTTAATACCAGGAATAATTGCCTCACTTGGAACCTATAAGTAGGTTTGAAAGCAGAGCTCCAGAAGCAGCTGGCTACTGCATTAACACCTAGTTCTCACTACTGCTATTCAAAATGAATGTGGGTGTCTCATGGGCAGGGAGGGGAAGGGGTTCAAGATCTCCTCCCTCTTTATAAGGAAATGGGATGGTCCCTGCCTGGAAGAGCAGACGGGCACTGGACAGCAACCCCTTAAATAACTGCACCATGTGCAGATCCCTGCACTCTGACCTCAGCCCTCGAAACTTGTTACCCGTTACTAAAACATGTTCTTTCTGTAATATTTTCTCATTGCTCTGGAATACTTTAACGACAGTTCCAAATCTTCTTGCACTTAAAAAGGTAGCCTTCTTCACCCAAATCAGGGGCTGGCAACTTTTCTGAGCAGCAGGCTGGACACTTGTGACCCAGCTACCACCATGGACTGCCAATCCTCCTCCCCAGCTACTCCAATCTCCTCCCTGCTCTGTGCCCCTTTCCACTGAAAGCTATGGAGAACACTAATACAGAAGGGCAAATTTGGTGGTGAGGGCACAGATCAGAAAGCTTTAAATTGCTGCTTCAGTGGGCTTGTCTACACGTGGCCCCTTTAGGGGGATTAGCCTAAAATTACCATTTTTAAGATGCATTAAGGGCACACATGTGTGGACACACACCTTTAATATACCTTAAAAATCCTGATTTTAAGCTAATCCTTCCTAAATTTGATATCTGCTTAAAGCAAAAACCAAATCTACGCTGGCATAGCTAAGTCACAGTAGCTCACATGTACATGCTTAATATGCCTTAACGCAGTGTGTGTTAATGGATGCACTCTGCGTTAATGTGCATTAGCACGGCTACATGTGGGCTAATGCAGCTTGGCTATGCCAGCCTAAATTTAATGCACCTTAATGTGCGTGTGTCTATGCGCAGACGCACGCCTAAATCACCTTAATGCACCTTAAACAAAAATGCATTAAGTTTAGGTGCGTGTAATTACATGTGTAGACATGCCCAGTGTGTCCCTTTTAAATTGGTGTCCCACCAACACAGAATCAGACCCTCATGGGCTGCATCCAAACCTGGCTGTAGTTTGCCAACTCCTGACCTAAATGATATTTCAAAGATACAAACCAAAACATGTCACCCTGGTAACACCTTGCAAGTGCTTTCTATTAACCAAACCATGCTCCATAAACAGCAGGCGTTAGAGTTTGTTTGCTCCAAGACAGGGCTATACAATCACCTAAAGTAGAGTTCAGAAGAGCCCAATCTTCTCTTGATGGCATGAGTGACCCAAATAGACTGCTCTTTACCAACCAACATCAAGGTCCCCCTGTAACAGTAAATTCCTTGGTTAGGAAAACGTAATCCCAACCACTCATTGTATAATTTGGCAATGTGGTTTGCTTGGCATTCTAATGGCAGCGCAAGTCACAAAGACAGAAACTACCTGCATAGGTGGAAGAGCATGAATCCATAGTTAGATAAGTATCACAAACACACAAAGTAGAGAGAAAATGTATTGTCTTACCTACAGCAGGGAATGGCACAAACCTCTGGATCAAGAGACGGGTGGCTGGGGTAAACTTGTTCGCTCTCTGAACCAGAACATTAAGGCCCACCTTTAGGCAGAGAAATCAAACAGAAAGATGGAAGCATTTAGTTACAAGGGGTGGAACAAATTCCAAGACCTGAAGCGACCAAGAGGTCCTCTTCACACTGATAAATGGAGATAAGAGAGGCCTTTTGCTCCTGAAATCATTCCAAAACTCAGTCAAGCAAGGTAACCTAGCTGGTGTTCCCTTCCCTCGCTTCCACCAAAGGAAAGGTTGAATCCATTGCACTCAACTCTTCTGGATGGTTTCTCTTTGTATCCAGTTCAATGGAATTTTCTCAGATTTGCTCTGATATCTGCAGCTCTTCTCTCTAGTGAATACAGAGGTTTCACTGCTTTACACCTCAGCTATACAGTGAACAGACAGACAGCTTATTATAACTACACAATTTTTGCAGCATCCTCTAGTGATTTAATGACACCGAGCTCTCTGCATTTTACTATTTGTAACACTTTAAACTGTTGCAAGCAGTATATTAACCAACTTTAACATTTTACTTGTAGCATTTCAACTAAGAAGCAAAATTAGCTTCACATCTGTAACCACAAGGCTTCTGTCAGGGTCTCTGTCCAGCCAATAGCAGGGGGACAAATGTGGGTTACAAGATAAGCTGGCCAAAAATTTTCCATCCAAACTCATTTCAGTAGAAAACAGGGTTCTCAACTCACCAAATACATTTGTAAGAAGTATCTGCCTTCCTCAAGTGTTTGATTTTTCATCTGGAGACCAAAACCCATCAAAATAGGAAATTTGGGGCTGCAAACAGATGTTTCCTGTATTTCCTATCCTGTGTTTAGCCAAAAGAGGTAAAAAAATAAATGGAAATTTCCCCCAAAAACTACCAAGAAATTTTCATTTGGGGGATTTCATTTTTTTTCCTCTTATGCAAAAATATCTAAGTTTTCTAAAGATGGGGAAACATTTTCCAACCTGTTCTTATTTTCACATGCAGGCACAGTGCATATTGTTTTCTTTGAGATTACTGGGAGAGGCTGAAAAGCACCTCTGGCTGTTTGAACAATGTACAAGCGCAATAATAACTATCAAACCCTTAGAACTTTGCCAGATCCAAGCAGATCTTCACCAGGATGCTGACAGGGCACCTCTGTACCCTAATGGACATACACCTGCCAAATGGACCCATTTCACTGTCACCTGTTACCTTGGCTCTAGCAGTGTGCAGAAGGCATAACATTTTTTGTTGTTATAATGGAAAAAAGCATCTCTTTTTTTCTCATCCTCAGTTGAGCGGTGTTTGCTCAGATATCCCAAGTCCTGCCAAATTTAAACCCCAAATATGAAAGTTTTAGAAAGGCTGCCAGCCTCTGAAAATTAGGGGGTTGAGGAGGAAAAGTTCTGATCATTTGGCTGCTGCTACTGCCTGAGCAATAAGGC